AGATAGGATTCATGGCCTATCTTAAAGATCCAGAGAAATATGCTTTTTTTGAGATTTCTACTGGACCATTATATCCAGTGGGAGTCAAAGATGCTGTTTCATGTACTACTGGAATGAAGATACAGCAATAATAAAACCAGATGGAGGATGTTTATCTTTTCCTTTTTAAGACTATCAATAGAGTGGAATCATTCATCTACCATATCTAACTAATCCAGAATAGATATAGCAGATGGGAGAAATTTTAGAAAGATTAATTTTGATCACAACTAAAATGGATACCAAGCAGAAAAAACTGCATGAGGATCATAATAAAAACAGACAGTGCCAAGTGATGGTCAGAACATGAAATAACCAGTGGAATCCATAGTTCTGTGTCATGAGTCAAACTCAGTAACTCACAGCTCAGTAACTGCAAAGCAGAATGTAGAAGTGAGAGAAAAATCATCCTATACATCTTCTCTTTTGTCTCTACATGAAATTTTCTGTAAAAACTATGGGAATTGTCTGAGCTCTGGAATTGGATTTTTTGGGCAGTGGGGAAGGGAAAGAAAGTAGCTGAATATAAGACCACTGTAATAACAGAGGATCCTTAAATTTCTCAGCCACTATTTGGTCACATACGTCATCACCTTGAATCTTCACAGCAATAAACTTTCCCAGTGGGGCCTCCCTGGTGGCACAGCAGGTTGGGCACAGTGCTGTGAAGCTGTCTGCAGCTAGCCAGGGAGATACCCCATCTCTTGTATGGGTGGATAAATAAATCTTAAAAAAATAAATAAACTTTCCCAGTGGATATTAGCTAAAGATTCTGGATAAGGAAAATGCACAGAGAGAATAAGGGGACACAGGTGAGAGAGTGGTCAAGCTCATCTGTGGTCAAGCGAATGCAGGTTGCTTTGACTCTGATTTATTATGCAATACTTCACTGAAGGAAAGAAGGTGCAAAACATAAAGTGAAATAAAATTTGCTAACAGTGTATACGGAATTTGTGTTCATCAGATCACTAGTTTCCTATGAGGAGCATCTAGTCACACACAACAGTCCAAGGGAATTAGCCAGTAGCAGATTATGGGCGTGGAATTTGGGTTAGAATTCTCCACCCAACTCTCCACCACCTCTACTTTACTGCCTTTGGCATCTAGGCATGGATAGGACTACGGGATGATCAACATCATCTTTTGGCTCTTCCACGCTTTTGCTTATAAGCCTGTCTGGTCTGCCATATTAGGGGGGCAGTATATTTAAGGAACCTAGAAATACCTAAGATTTATTGATAAAAAGAGCTATTTAAAAAAGAAAGGGAGGCTTAGGAAGCAGAAGGTCTCTGACTTGCACTAAAATAAGCTGTTTTTTTTCTGAAACAGTGCGCATAATAAAGGGGGAGGTATGATTAGTGATATAAACTTCAGTTTTGTGATTTGAATTTGCTGTATTTTTTTGTGTGTTCCCAAGTTTGAAGCTTACGATTAATTAGCCCTCTTCATTCTCTTGGCCCACTGGAAATTGACACAGAGGAGGAAGCAGAATTTTCCTGAAGAAATGCTCTGTAGGGTTTCTGTTCTTCAAAAGTCTAAGCTCTTATAGGACTGATGTCTAGAGAGGAATTTAAACGAGAAGCAGGCAATAGAGACATATTTCAGATGTGCTGTCATTTAAAGGAAGTAAAACACTATGACAGTTTTTGAGCACAGTGAAGGATCGTGGGTGCTTTCGGGGTGAGAGTGCTACAGTGACTTCACCTGAGGAGGGGGCAGTCTTATACTGTCAAAACACTAGTGAGGATGTAACAGTGGTACTTCAATAACAATAAATGAATTTTTAAAATAAAAATAAATAAATTAAATTAAATAAATGTATGTTTGTGGAGTAAAATATATACCTGTTACAGGTGTTTTTAAATAAATAACATTTTAATTATAAAGTCTAAACAGCATTAAGAAAATTCTGTGTTTGGTACCTCTTGGTCAGGAGCAATGCCCTTTCTTTGCACATTATCACCAGTATGTTAGGGGTTTAGGATCATACAATGTTTTTATAAAAATTTTCCCTGTAAGAGAGGAGTCTTCTTGTTTGCTTCTAATGTGCTCCATGTTGCCTTTACATCTGGTAACACCACTTTTCTGAAGTTAAAAGAGAATTTAAGGCAGTGGTTCTCAAAACAGTATGTGCATCAGAACCATCTGTGAGAGTTTTTTTTTCTGCATTTAATACTCAGGTTTTACTCCTACCCAGATTCCCTAGGCCTGGGGTAAGGCTCAGTATTCTGTGTTTGCAAGAGCTTCACAAGTGGGTTATCAGAGTTTGGAGCTACAGTTAAGACCAATCTAAATTTAGACCAATTTTTTTAAAGATCTGAATTAGCCACCAATTTTAATTGCACTATTTCTTTCAGTGCTGTATCATACAAGTATTGACCTAAAATTTTTTGACTGGATAATAAGCAACCAAAAAATGTAATACTGTGGAGTACAAATACAGAGCTGCTTTTTCAAGGACAGGTAAAAAATGCTACCCTTTATTATTTTATCAGTGATAAATAAAATCAGTGAAGAAACCAAATTTTTACAAGCAATTTTAACCAAAGATTTTTGTTCTAGAAAACAACAATGGTTCTGGGGAAAGATCCTACATGCTTTAAACGGAAGAGGAAGCAGAATTTTCCTGAAGAAAAGCTCTGTAGGGTTTCTGAGTAAGAGCAAATTCTTACTACAAGTTCCTTATACCTACAATTCCTATAATATACTCATGGCTTTAAATTTGTCATACCCTCATTAGAGGTATACTCAGCATTGTATGATTACGATATACATTGTATGTGAAACTTTGTTCAACATTCTAGGTCAAATGCTATCCTAGGGCCTGGGAAGCATCCTGATAGATGTTGCTATGAAAGCACTTGATTTCTGTGCTCAAATCATGAAGATATGCAAAAGAAAACACACTTCATTTATTTCAAAAGATTTATGATACCTGCCTAATAATCTGAGTATTTGGAAAGTTATATATTTATATTAATATTATAGACTTTTTAGAATTATTAAATTAAAAATAATTTTCTTTAATACTTAACCACTCCTTTTTACATAATCTTTACAGTTAAGCTTGGTTTTACATTGATTCTTCTTAATTTGAATCTATATATATTTTTAAAAGACATTGAAATTTGAAGGAAAATCACTAAATCAATATAAAGTCTCAGGATCTTCACTGTAAGGCAAGTGCAAATAGAGTTAAATCTAGGTTTTATTAGGCTAGCTGGAAGCTTATTTCCTCTTCATTCATTTATGAATCTTATTCCACCACTATCTTCACAACTGCAAGCAGTCCTATATTACCACATTGTCCTGGACTAGAAGTTCAGACTAGTAATAATAACAGTAAAAACAATGACAGTGATAACAATAGCTAACCTGAATACAACTTATTTTGTGCCTTACACTGTTGAAAATATTTTATACAGATTATCTCATTTAACCCTGCTAATAACCCATAGTATAAGCATAAATGGAAAAATAGGCACAAAGGGGTTAAATGGCTCATCCAAAGGAAAATAAATAATTATTATTATTATTTTTTTTTTTTTTTAATAGAGGCATGTTTTATTTATTTATTTATTTGTTTGTTTGTTTTGTTTGTACATGCACTGGGTACAGTCAGAAGCGCGGGAGGGTGAGAGAATTCACCAGAGCCAGAGCAGGGAGCAGAGCAGGCAGAAGGACCGAAGTACACTGCTGAGGGGAGCAGCGGGCGGCAGGAGAGGTCTGCGCGCCATGCGGGACCCTCCTCTGGTGGCCAGGGAGCAGCCAGGAATCGAACCGGCGCCGCAGAGGTCACCGGCAGCTTCGCAACCCAGCGCTCAACCGCTGCGCCACCAGGGAGGCCCCAAAGGAAAATAAATAAAATGTGGTCAACCCAGAGTTATTCTGACTCAAAAATCTTACTTTTAATCAATATGTTATCCTGCTTCTAGATTCTGGATTTGTCACTAAATTTCTACTTATAGGGGAAATTATAAAATCTCCATCATTGTAAATTCACAATCTGTTAAATATATATAACATGTTTCTGCCCTTTTTTTTATGGTCTTACAAGACTTAAATGAGAAATAGGGAAGAATTTGTGCAGTAGTATAGATATTTATAAGGGTTTACTAATACTCATATAAATTCAAAGTAAGACCTCACATAATTGGCTTTGAAATCTCTGGCTATCACATTTATTTAAGATGTTTATTTCTGCCCTCATCCCCGTCTCAAGATGGTAAATGAGACTTTATGAAAGATCAGGGAGAAATAAAACATTAAAAAAAATTACACTCCACTGGATCTGTTGACAGCATTTCCATTAGGATGCAGCCTATGTATAAAAGGACTCACAGTGCTATACTTCAAGGTTAGGATGAGGGTTGATATTTAAATGTTTCTACATAGAGGCCATACACTCACTGGAAGTGCTATGTTCTTTTGGTGAGAACAAAAATGTTCATTAAGGGAATTATATGGGGTCTTTTTCTAGTTGGAATGACAGGCATTAAGAACTAACCCATGCGACTCCCACCCCTGCTGGTACTGCCCAATCCAGTAAATCTCTCTTTTTCTTGAGAAAGGCTGACTGCCTCTCATGAACATGGAAGTGTTACGAGGAGAAGGCAATGAGGTAAAACTTCAAATCTACCTTTAAGGATGAAAGAAAAATCAGAGATTAACAAACCACAAAGAAAATGCTGAAAATCTTAAAATTAATAATGGCATCCATGCATGCAGCAAAAAGAGCCAGCTTCAGGATGTGGCTTGAATCCTGGTTCTGTTATATATACCAGCTCTAAGACATTTAACAGCATGGTCAAGGACATTGATTTTGGAGTCACACCGGCTGTACAGATCCCAGCTTTGGTAATTCCTGGATCCCCAATGCCTCATCAACATGACACTTGGTTGCCTTAGACAATGGCACATTTAACATTTCCAGAAACAAGCTCTTGATGTTTGTCCCCTACCTGTCCTTCCATAGTCGTTCCCTTCTTAGCATTGACAGCTCCATTCTGCTGCTGCTCAGGCCACAGAACCTTGGGTCAGTCTCCCTGCAGTTTAAAGATATTACTCTATTATCTTCTGACTTGCATTCATGCTGACAAGAAATTTATTTTTATTACATTCCTTTCTTTACAATGTCTTGGATTGGTTGAGATTCTTAGACAAATATGATCCTAATTTTCATAAAATGTTAAAATTTTAGCTATTGGTAGCACAGATAATTAGAATTTTTTCAGTCTTTGTAATTCATTCAGACAGGCTCTATAGTTATACATTAAAGTTTGTAATTCTTTCTCTGAAGAGTTTATTGTGACAATAAATCTTCATTTCAGATACTATCATGCATTACTTATTGCTTCATTTGGGTTTATTTCATATAGCTCTCATTTCTCATATCTTCATTCACATTTCATTTCCACTTTTCTTAGAGACTGATCACATTTGTTACAGTTTTTTTTTTAACTCCCCTTCTGTCAGTTCTTTGTAAATGTCATTCACGTGTATCTTTATGTTGGTTGGTTTTTCCCTTGACTTGGGGTCATATTTTTCTATGGAAGGGCAAACAGGTGACAAATATCAAGAGTTTCTTTATGGAAATGTTAAATGTGTGATGTCTATAACACAACCAAGTGAAATATTGATTAGGGAGTAGGGATCAGGACATTTATCTTAAAGAAACATAAAATTCAGAAATGGGGTCAAACTATACAAGCATTATCTACAATAAGAAAATCCTAGAAATAACCTATATATCCAAAAATGGGAAAGCAGGAAAGTAAATTATAGGTCCTCTATATTATACAGCTACCAAAAATATGATTTTGTGACTATTTAATGATTTGAGAAAATATTCAAGATATAATGTTAAATTTATCTATTTATTTATTTTAAAGGTTGTATGTATGCACACAAGAACCAGGGTACAGTCCAGAGGTACAGGGGGTGAGATGATTCATAGAGGTAATGTAGGGAGAAGGAAGATTGACTGGAATACATTGCTAGGGGAGAAGTGGGTGAGACAGGAGAGGTCTGCTGTGCCCTGTGGGTCAACTCCCTGGCCAGGGATCAAGCTCATGCTGCAGTAGCTACACATTGCTTCATAATGCTGATGCTTAACCCCTTGCACTACCATGGAGGCCCCCTATAATGTTAAATTTAAAAAGTGAAAACAAATCAGCCTTACTGTATAAAGACAGTATGTTCCAAACTTTATAAATAAACAGAAAGAAACCTAAAGGAAATACATCTATTATTAATAATGGTTACCTCTCTGTGGTATGACAGTAATTTTTATTAGTTTTACTTTATATTTTATAACTTTTCTACAAGTATATATTACTTTTATAACTAAGGAAATAAAATGATATAAGTAGAATTTGTTGGAAAGAAAACATTAAAGAGGTATATAAGGCAATAAAAAGTAAGAAATAGATATAAAGATTGGAAAGGATGTCTGGGGAAATGTATGAAGGCAGTATTTTAACATTTTTACCCAGATAGATTTTGATTTATTATATAGATAATGAAATTACCTGAAAGCCAAAATTACTCAAAACTTTGAAATTTATGCCTATAATATTTAAGAATACACACCTTTGGAATAAAATAATGCATCCTACAATTTTCTTAACTTATGTTGCCAATTATTATTAATATTAATATAATAACTTCACCATAGCAGTCAATGATATAGAAGATGAAAGTCACTGAGGAATTTCAATTCTATCATAGATAATTTTCAAAGTATACACCCACATGTAGAAAATTAGAAATCAGCTATTTCTCTCTATTATTTCTTAATTGACATATGGATGTAAAAATAAACTCCTAGAAATGGAAGTCATGTCTACTCTCATGAGAAATAACGTATACCTTTTTCAGAGCCACACAAATATAGTGTAGGTAATAATAGTAGTCAACTGTCAAAGGTGAGGATGGGGGGGGGTCAATTAATAAAAATTCTTCACTGCCCACCATTAATCCTGTTTTGTCTCAACCAACCTTGAAGGTCAAAGATGAACTCCTATAAAAATGGAATACTGCACTGATTTAATAATTACCCATTTGAATTTTATATCTGTAAATAGCTATAGATGCGCTATAACCATCTTGCATAAAGTTATAAGGCCTAGTGTTGTTGTGTGTTTATACCTGGTTAATTTATGAGGAAATGATGACTATTTATAAAAGATCATCCAAAGACCCTCATTATTATTTCATTTTTGCTAACATTCAATTCATTTTCCTGACAGGAAATAGCAGCTTAACATGTTTTCTAATACATATTTGGATATATTACTTTAATTAAAACTTGTCAATGTCCACATTAGCATACCCACTCTCTACATTTCTAATAGGATAGTTCTGTCAATCAAGCCTCGTGGCTTGCATAAATAAACATAAATAGTTATATGGAGTCACCATCAATAAAGAGAAAACTCCCCTTGAGGCTTCCACTTAATGGCCGATCCTCCATCTGTCTCACTACTTTTCCCTCACTCCCTCTTTCCCATTATTACACTTTGATTCAAAAGCACCAGGCTCCATTTGGGATAAATTAGGCCTGCAGTAAAGGGCAAAACAGATCACTCAAGGGACACTGCTGATACATCTTTGATTTGGTTGTTTTATAATGCACTTGATAAAAGCTGTGACGTGTCAATGCCATGTTTTACAGATTTTTTTTTTTAGGGCAAAGCAACACAGTGATAATTTTTGTGAGTTATTATTAATAAAAAGGAGCAGAATCAATAAATTATCCGTAGGATAACTATATAGTAACAGAAGTTGGGTTGATAAAATTTGTTTTTATATTTGGTTACAATGAATCCAATATTATATTATCAATACAGATGGTACCTGATATATTCTAACTTCTCTGCAAGACAAGAACACTACGTGTGTGTGTGTGTGTGTGTATGCAGATTATAATTGAGCAGCAACATAATATTGTCAGCTACATTTCTATTCCTCTATGGAGGAATTTCTATTCCATGGAGGAATAGAAATGTTTACCAAAATATAATTTTATTATTGGAGTAGTTCATCTAGAATCCTTTTTCTAAATATACCAATAATATTTAACAATTATCTAAAGCTTATCTTTGTAAGCATTTTACATGTATTAATTCAGTTTATTGTTCCAATAAGTCTACAAGTTGAAAAGTATTATTCTTTTCTTTTTATAAATGAGGCAACTGAAGCAAAGGGCAGTCAAGGTCACATAGGTAGGGAGTGGTCAAAGTGCGACCCTGAGCAAAGTAGTTCCAAGGCCTGTGCTCCTTTCTCATTCTACCACACTAGTCCTAATTCTAAGCAGGCCCAGTTGTCTGAATAGAGCATACACAGTTCTTTCCTACTACACTTGGTTAAAGGCATGTGTGAAAAAAATTTCTTTTTCTGTGTCAGAAGATGAAACCTCCACCTCATCTAGAAATGGTTTCAAGTCATTAAATAGAAGTTTAAAAGGTGGTAAGAAAATGTCCACAATTTACTTTGATAGAAGGTGTCAAATCCTTTGAATGTGTCTCCTCAATGGAGATCAAAAACCTTGAACCATAAGGGTTCAACCATAAAGGACTGTTTCCATAATGTAAAATGAATAACTGACAGGTTTGCGTCATTTACTCAGGGCTTCTCAAACTTAGGTGCTTGTATATTGGGAGTTTGTGGTATCTCCAGGGATGGAGTATCTCCAGAAAAACCTTCTGATGTGACACATTTAATATAGGATTTTGGATAAAAGTATTTTTTCATAATCAAAATATTTCTACATTAAAGTGACAAATATAAGATTTTGGGGCCTCCCCTGGTGGCGCAGCGGTTGAGCGCTGGGCTGCGAGGCTGCCCGCAACCTCTGCAGCGCCGGTTCGTTCCTGGCCGCAGGCGAGGGTCCCATAAAAAAAAAAAAAAAAAATGCATGTTTCATGGCTGAACAGGAAGTTTCATTTTCTACCCCAGATCCCAAGGAGAGCAATTTCATTTTCAAAGACCTCAGGGAATGTGAGGAATGTGAGTTGAAACATGTGAGAAACAGAGGTTTGGCCTCTAACTAGACTGATCCACAAAGTTAAACACCAAGGTAAAAGCAATCATGTATGCTGATTAGTGGCAAATACGTATTGGGGCAAATACAAATGCTATTCCTAAGTGATTACCCCATGGGTGATCAAAAGTATAGAAAAGGTAAGTAGTAAAATAGCCTGAGTAAAGCAGGCCTGGCCCTGCTGTAGAGCTGGTCACTGACTCTAGCTCCAAAATATATTCCAGATTCCTCCATTGCTCTTTTCCACTGCTAGCCCTTCTTCATTCTGTCAGAATCTCGCCCCTCATTTCTTAAATGATTCTACTATTTCTGTATGCAGCAGTCAGAGTGGTATGTCTTAAATATAAATTGGATTATTTCATTCTCCTGGTTAGTGCTCTTTAGTGAATTCTCAATGCACTTAAGATGAAACCTACACCTCTATGCCATTTCCTAAAATGTTCTAAGTCATCTGGCTCCTGACTCCTTCCACCTAATTTTCTGCTAGATTCCCATTAATTCATCTCTTCCAGCAAAGCAGGACTTCCTTATATTCCTGGAACACACGAAATTTTTTCCTGCTTGAGCAACCATAGATTTGCTATTCTTTCTTCCTAGAATATTCTTTCCGATTGTTATATTGCCACTTCTCTTTATTTAGGTCTAAGCTCATATGCTATCTCTTCAGAGAGACATTCTCTGATATCCTATTTTAATACTATTCTTTCCCCACAAAACTGTTTATCATGTTATCCCTATTATTTTCTTATCACTAAATGAACTTAGCTCACTTAACACACTAGAATGTAAACTTGTCTGATTTGTTCATCACCCTGATTTTGTTGCTAATAAGTTGCTTAGCACAGAGTGGAAACTGAATACCCACTAAATGAACAAACCAATGAAAAAAAGAGACAACTGGAATACATTTCAGACACCATGACTATTTAGTTAGTGTTCTATAATTTGAGGAGAATGGAGTGGAGACAGACTCTAGTCCTGTGGGCTCATGTCTATTTAGTAACAAGGGAGTCATATTAGAGAGTGTCAGAGTCACAACTGGAGTGGTCCTTGACGGCCTCTGGAGATAAGAAATCTTTCTTGAAATTTTATTTAGCTTATTTTATGCTTTTTGATCAACTGAATTATGTGACCAAATGCTGTGTAGAACTGATCAGAAAGACACCTAAGTTCATGGTCATGAACTTGAGTTTCTATCACTGAGATAGAAACTTTCAGTTGTAGTTTAGCTTCCCAAATTCCATAATTACTTTACCACATACATAACTTGGGAAAGTAAGTCCCCAGACCTTGAAGAGCAGTTTTATTTTGCATCTCCCCATTTTTTTGTTTCATTCAGTGATTTGTTTGTATATCTTTTGAATATTTAAGCAGATGGTGATGGTAGGTGTGGTTTGCACCTCTTCTGAGTGACCAGGGAAGACTTGACCCAGGAGAGGCAGAATCCATCCTTGGGAGTCATGTTCCAAGTGAGCTCTGTTCACTGGTGATCACTGATAGCAACTTTTTGTAATTTTTACTTTTATTCCATCTTCCCTTAGCTACCCACAGAACAGAAAACAGTGAACATCAACTTAAAGAAATAGAAAAAAACAGTAGACTGGCTATTTACAGGAATGGATTCTAATTGGATTTTATCACTTAAAAGTTAAGGGACTTTGGGAATTTCAAAAAAAAAAAAAAAAAAAAACCACTCTGCCCTTGTGGTCCTTACCATCAAATAGATGAAAATTAGACTCTGTATTAATTTATTGCCTGTACAACTCTGATAGTCTTTAATTTCCTGAACTAAGGACAATTTCAGCATTATTTCAATAGTTTTTCTTTCCAAAACTCAAAGAATATATATCTACCTTGCAATGAATAAATACTGATTTATAAAGGACTTACTAGGTTTTCTACTAGGAAAATTTAAAGTCATTATAGCATTCATCTAATCAAAATTGATTTAAAAATTATTACTTTATTTCCCAGACAAAAGTGAATATATAAAAAAAGAAATATTTCTTATAATAAAGGAACAATGAATAAATGCAATAAAAGGCTGTCAATTTAATATGATTTTCTAAGTTGCTGAAAACATCCATTTCACAGAAATATTTCCTTCTCAGCTCAAGATTAATTCCATTATTAGAAATCCAATCCTTTGATATAATATTTTATGGAAATTTAATGTAGATCTAAAATATAAACTACTATAACACTTTGGGTTAATAATAAATTTAAATAGCCCCTGAAGGTGATATGTTTCACCTTAAAAATAAAAATCTAACAATTTCATGAAGAAATTAGATCTTTTTTTTCCAAATTTACAGATGAGAAAAATCAGGCCTTATGGATGAAACCACTGGTTCAGAATCATCTCATAGTAAATGGTAGCACTGGGACAAGAACACTGTCTCCTGCTACATGACCAGTCTTTCTGTCCAACATCTCCCCATGGAAAGAGATTATATACAATTAGGGGTAGAAGGAATGAGGGATGAAGACTTTGGAGGTAGACCAGGACTCAAATTTTGATTCTGTTATTTGCTAGCTGTTTGATATGAGGTAATTATTAAAACCCTTAGAGTATTTTTGTTATCTGCAAATATCAAGAATAAATATATCATATAAATATAGTAGGGGTAATGTCATATATTATAGCTGTGTTAATGGCAATCTTTTTGTTTTTACTACTCTGTATTTTTGATTTTATAATGAGGTTGCATGTGAGAAAAAGGACAGGAATATAAAGATAATTAAAAGGTAGATACCATTTTCTTTTATAAGACTTACATTTCCAACCGAGGTAGTTGCTTTCATTTTATTCTATTTTATATTCTTCTTTAAGTGTATATGTGCCATTCTTTACTGCAAATATCCTTCCTAATCTCAACTCTGACCAGTGCCTATACTTTTGCTCAATTTCAAAGTCTGCAGTTATCCACTTTCAAACTTTCTTTAATGCCATAGGCTATCTCTGTGACATTCACATAAAACTCAAATTCATTTGGAAATGTTTACTAAGTGCCTCCTGAGGTGCTAGGGAATCCTGCCAGGGCAACATGAGAATACATTATAAAACTTAATTTAATTTATTTCTGTTGTTAGTTCCCACACTTTGGAATTTTAAGACCATTTACATTTAAAAAAACACGAAGACTGATATAATGATCCCTACTTTTTATTCTCTAAGTAAGGATAAATTAAAACGAGTAACTTCCATTGATTACCACAAAAGACATTTTTGATCCCAAATATATAATGTTAAGATTTTAAAATTGAATGCCTTAGGCATTATGTAAAATTTCATGGAGGGAGTCTGCATACTTAGAGAATAGACACTTGGGAATCCATGGTTTATAAATGTCTTATGCCCCAATTTGATAGTTCTTAGAGATATTGTTTCTTATTCTATTTTGCACCCCTAATGCAGTGCTACTATCTAGTAAGGGATATTCAATAACTATTTATGAAAGAGGCAATGAATTTGCCTCTGAGCAAATACCTGAGACCCATGGGAATGCCAAGGCACAGAGTACCAGGGAACACAGCAGTGCTCACCGCAGACAACACTTGAGAGACACTGCAATGGTGAGGCTGTGGAAAGTGTGTGTGTGTGTGTGTGTGTAGTAGAATTTTACTTCACAAGTTTGCATCAGACATTCAGAGAATTTTATGCAGCATTATTAGCAAGATTGTCTGCCTTACTGGGACAGTATCTGTAAAACATTCCATGTGGCATCTTAGATGGATTAAGAATGATAATAAAGGTGGTGAGTATAAACAGGTGAAATTAATTGAACATTCATTATGCTTTTATCATGGATTTTCTCATTTTACCATTACCAATCTGTTAGGTAGATTTGATTACCATCCCCATTAAACAGATAAAAAAAACTGTGGCTTGCATCTTTGTACAGAGTCACATAGTTAACCAATGATAGAAGTAGATCTTAAGTTTAATCTAATTGTCTTTACTGTTTACCAAAACTCATGTATCCCCCTGGAGCTTTTCTTGAGTCCTTTTCTAATATGAACAAAGTTTTATAGGATTGGATTTTCATTTTGAAAGTCAGGAGGAAACCTAACGTTTCATAGCCTACATTCATAGCCAGAATTTTAAAGCTAAGTATACCACTGTGTGCAAGCTTCTGAACACCACTGAGCTTTAATTTCTACATGTTTAATTTCTACATGTTTAAATTATGAAAGTACTTCTTTCTGCTTTGGTGAGGATTAAATAGATAGCATATGTAAAACAGCTGTTAGGGAGCAGGATTATGAAGGGATTTTAGTAATAGTTAATTCACTAGGAGGCCTACTAAAACCAAATGACATTTTTCAAATTAAAACCAAATAAAATACTAGCGGTAGAATGAGAACAAATAGATCATTGTTCTGGGGTGAACAACAGTGCATGTTTTTACTCAATTCTTTAGAGACCCATCAGGATTATCTTTGCTACAGCCCTTATTTTAACCATGAGCCCAGTGATGACAATTTCAGCATAGGAAATTTATATTCCATTTACACCACAGATGCAAATTTGCAGCATCTAAACATTATTTTCCTTGGCTAAAGATGTAACAAGCTACTTCAGCAAACCTAACATTGCAAAATAAGTGGAAAATGCTTAATCATTAAAAAAATAGCGAAGGTATAAAAAAGGCCAACACATGCAGGCAGGGGTACCGGTGAGGAAAGTTAAGTGGCAGAAAATCTCCACTTTTGTAAAGACAAATGACTTCATTAGACAAGCAGGATATGAAACCAAAAAGGTCCATATGTATTATTTTTACATGCAAAATGTTCAAAAATTAAATGTGCAGCTCAATATTGAATGTGTTCATGGTAAAAGTAGTGTTCACTGAGAAAGGCAAGCTGGAGAGTGATGTGTAAAGAAAATATGAACTTGTGAAACAGTGTCAAGCCTAACCAATTACGGATTGTGCATCTGTACGTTTGCAGGAATATGGAGAAGGTTGAAAGGGTTCATGCTAGGCTGTCATATTGGGCAGCTAAGAATGGGTTGCTCTGGAAGAACACTGAAGGGAGATTTCTGGTTCTTGAACATCCTTGCATTACTTCACCAAATGCTATGAGCATATAATACTGTGGAATAAAAACATTTAAAGATAAAAAGTAAAAATATGTATTTCTGATTATTCATTCATACATTTATTCATTAATTCATTAAGCATTATTATTATTCTGTACTAGTGAGCAGTAAATAACCTAACTTGATGAAATTAAGTGTGCACTGTCAGACTGGACTTTTTCAGAGGCATGCTGACTAAAGTTGGCTTTACTGTGGGATTAGCAATGTAGTCTATGGAATTTAAAATTTAAAAGACAAGAGTTTCAATCCAGATTTTTTTCACTATCAGATAAGCAGTATCATATATTATTTCCTCTTCTAGCACCTTAGTACCATCTTCTCTCCTCTGTAATAATACATACAATATGACTGTAAAGCTGAAATAGACTCAGATATCAAAAGTCTTAATAAATTCAGTGATAGATACTTATATATTATTCTTTGTCCACAAATAATTTGTGATTTTTATATTCTAACAGAGGACAATGACAGGTTTACAAATATTTTAAGATTTCTACTTGAGTCAAGACATTCATAAGTTTAAATGGGGCTCAGCAACTTTAATTAGCTTTAAAGCAACAGCTAACACTCTAGGCCTCTAGGCATATGTTATATCTTCCTGGTGATGACCACAAAGGAAATTAACCAACAAAAAGGTCTCACCTGGTGTAATCATCTTCAACAAGCATGTGCTTTGGAATTGGTGAGTACCTTCCTGGAGATATGGGCGGCAGGGAGGTTTTGTATTCTAAAGTGCCATTGTTGCCAGAGAGTAGATGGTTTTCCATTGGTGGAGAATAAGCTAAAAGATGAGAAAGAAAGAAAAAGACTGTTACGTGGATGATGCAGTGTGTCATGCTCTTGTTCTGTTTAAAACAGAAAAACTGCTGCATGCCAATAACTTTGCTGTCCTCCAAGAGGAGGGGGTTTCTGTTTGTGAACATTAATATATAAAAGTACATGGTGACCTTTAGGATTGGGAAGATGTAATAACCATTATATCTATAAGCCACATTAGGAATAACTAGGTGAAGAGAAGAATGGTAGGAGAGACCCATATTTTCAGAACAACTATGAATTTTCTATTGAAATAAACATGTCAGTGTTGTGATTTGTAGTGCTCACATTATTTTCGCAAATTAATATTCCATCATCAAAAGCAGTAGGCTCCTAGGGAGCAAGTTCTCCCTAGACTTTTATCCCAAAACATGCTGTAATTCCATGCCAGAAACTTATTTTTCTAAAGCATTACTCTAATTCATCTCCCTTTGGGTAACTGAAAAGCCCTCCTAACTGGGTCTCCTGCTTCTTTCTTCCCTTCAAGTCAATTTTTTTTTCTATGTAATTTTATTTTATTTTTTGATTAATTATTATTTTCTTAATTTTATATATCCTTTACATCTTTTTTCATATTTGCACAGTGTATGCATTTTCATCTTGGTTATAGTCCCCATTCAATTCCCATCCCTCTATGTTTTGAGCCTACTTTCTCCTCTGCCCCACCCCACCCTGTAGAGGAGGGAGTAGGACCTTCAAGTCAATTTTATACATTGAGAAATCCCACTGTAATCATACTGTTCTTGTACTAACCACCTGTAATTCATACCACCTATCCCATATCTAATATTAAAATCTCACCCAATCTTTAAACAATTCAAATGCCACTCTCTTCATAAAGATTTTTCTGATTTTCTTTTTGTTATTTAGAGATTTTATTTATTTCTAAACAGAAGAACCAGGTACAGGCTAGAGGTGTGGGGGGGTGGGTGAGAAGAGTCACCTGAGACAGAGTGGGGAGCAAAACAAGTCGATCCACTATAATCCAGTGCTGAGGGGTGCAGCAGGTGAGACAGGAGAGGTCTGCTGCACCATGAGGGTAGCTCCCCTGGCTGGGGATCAAACCCATGCTGCAGCAGTTGCCAATAGTTTCATAGTGTTGAGACTTAACCCTTGCACCACCAGGGTGGCCCATGATTTCATTTTCCAAAGATGGGTGATATAACCTTTTCTTGAGTGTTCAAAGCACATTCATTTTTACCCCTCTCTTCACATATACATGTCTTGCATTTTGCCAAATATTGCTATAATTTATGCCTAGGCTACTCTTATTCTTTCCATTGAAGGCCATAATTGTAAGTCCTTTATATCCCACATATTAGCATAGAAGTTGTCCTGTACATACTAAAATTGATCAACACATAGTTCATGAACTGATTAGAAAGTATTATTTTCTCATTTTTCTCCCTTTGACATTGACCTTGAATGTCCTTCATGAAATGGCTGACAGTGTCTCAAGGCTGATTTTTTCTAAATTCACCAAGTGTGCAAATCTTTGAATGTTTAAAGTCTTCATGTCCTAAGGTAAGGTTGATCTCAGCTTACTGCTTGCTTGAAAACAAGACATGTTTGGGGGACAAGTCATTTTAGAATAATCATTAAGAAAAGCATTAGCTAACTAACATAATGGGCAGGTAACAAAATTAACCAACCTTCAAACTTCTCACAAGAGAAACATCTAAATCTAAGAGGTTAAATGACTTATTTAAGACCATTGTGGTAATTAATGGCAAGTCCTGAAGATATTCTGAGTCCCTAGTCTCACAACTGATTTCTCAGAATTTCAGAATCAGCAATTTTACTGATGTTAATAAAACCATACCTAAACTCACATCCAAAAAAAGAAGATTGATATGTATGAATATTTTCTCAATAAAGTTCTTATTGACCTAATAAGAGCAGATAGCATGGAACTGAGAGCAGTGGATTTGGTAAAGACAGTTGTTGCCTTCAAACCCCTACCCCCAACCCACCTCCACTGTATATTGACCACCATTTTCTCCGGTTTCCCTGCCAATATAAAAAAATTGGGTAAATGTGAATGCTGTGATGATGGTAACTGAGGATCACAATTCCCCTATTCAGTGCATGATCTCCTTCCTTAGGAAAAAGCATAGTGTTGTTTCTAGTCTATTTTATCAGCCTCTATTTTCCACTCAGCTACTAGATAGATCTGAAGTAAGAAGAAAGAATAAGATGATATGAAAACCAACTGCCTAAGGAATTGAGATAGCCTTTAAAAATACTCTGTTCCTACACTGTTATCATCACATTGTCCACAACATGTATCATCAAGACTTTCCATACCGGTGCACCTGTCAGTTCATCAGGGTGTCCCACCTTCTGTACATTAGGTAAGGCAATGAGAGGGGCAGTGCTCGCTGATGTATTTCCACAGGCTGAACAAAAGTAAAGGTGAAAGCAGAAGACTTGGCCAAGTTTTGTGGAATTCCAATTCTGCACACCCAGTATGCTGCTCAAAAATAACACTGAGAGCAGTACTTACAATGAGTAATATCAGGTGGGCCATAAGGATCAGTCATATAAATGGTAGTAGGTTTGCCAACTTTGAGATACACTACATCTGACGTGTTCTTTAATATTGCTACCGCCTCTTCATGTGTTACTTCTTCTAAACTGTAGTTGTTTACCTGAAAGGGGAACAAAATTCAGTATCAGAATTAAACTTCTGCAGGTGAGAAATATTCAGTTAAGAAGATATATAGAACTATGAACTTATTTAAAGTTTAAGTTGCACTGATTACAGTCTAGAATCCAAATCATAGATTGACAGAACAGATGGATTAATGGCATTCCTTAGCCAAAACAGATAAGGCACATTGTTAATGTTATGAAACAAGGTTGATTCTTCCCTTTTATGTAAAGAGGAGGTATATTATAAGCAGAAATCAGGATACTATTTGTGGAAAAAGAAAGGAGGTGCCAAATGTATTCCATATTTTGCTATAGATTTTGGGACCATAAAAGTGATATATACACACATACATGCATACATACATTGAAGAAGACTAAGAAAAACAGAACAGAGGAAAGTTGAAATCATAATCTCTCTATTTAGATATTTTCCTTTGAACAGTTGTGACCATACTACACACAATTTTTGGAATCTATTTTCCAAATATCAAATGACTGTTCATATCATGAATGTACCTCAATAACATGACTTTTATTTTCAAAAGAGCATTGTGTTGTATGGTTATAACAAATAAAACACATCTAATTTGCTTCCAAGTTTTTCTTATAAAAAGTATGCAATAAGCTCTTTAATATTTGTTTATAGCCTTAACCATTTCTTCAGGATAAATAATACAAGTGAAACTGCTGGACCAAACCACTGGGATATTATGAGGTTTCTGATATCTGCTTCCAAAGTATCCTCTGGAAACATGGACCAGTTTATTTTTCTGCTACGACTTTATGAAAACCCCCAATTTTCACCAAACTTGGCTTTGCTCACTTTAAAAATTGTTTGTATTGAAATGTCACTTAGAATGAGTCAATTTTCTAACAAAAGAGTGCTCATCTGGACACAAGCCTTTGCAGGTGAGTGAGATCCAGGGTAGCCAACTGTTGTTGACTTCAACAATTTCTCTTTCCTTATTAGAAGAATTGTGACAAAATTACAATTCTTACTTCATTGCAGTGGTGTTACAGTGGAGCTTTGTTGCATTTTTGTTAAATGGTTTTAAAATATCCAGATGTATTTTCAATGCCTAGGCTATTCTTATTTGGTTACTACTATATTATGGTTGATTTTTTAGTTTCTGCTGCAATGATATAGAATTAAATGTGCCAAGATTATTAGCTTGGATCCTTATAATATACAGTCTCTGTATGATCTCATTAGAAATTTAATCATTTATCATCTTATAATATTTCCTCCCCTGCCCTTGTGTTATAAAAATACCATATGCCAGTTAATCCCTGGTAGTATAGGCCAATTTAGGGACCCTGGGGATGGAGGGAAATGAACCCAACTGATACAGAAATGCTAACTGGGACCTTGTCATTAAGTTACAAGTCTCTACTGGTTTCTATGGATTTCTTCCAGACAAGTGGAATTTCTCAAATCCCTTTGCATTTTCAGTGTTTACTACTTGCTGATTCATTCATCAAATATTTATTGCATACCTGTTGTGTGCCAATCACTGTCCTAGGTATTAAGATGTGTGACAAACGATACAGATAATCATCCTAATCACAGTAGACACATTCATGGCCTCTATTACATGCCAGACACCAATCTAAGTTATTTAAGTATATATTGACACATTCAAACCACACAACAACCTATGAAGTAGCTGTTATAATTATCTTCATTTGTCTCCAAGAGATTAAAAAATATGTCTAAGTCAATGATCTAATCAATGGGTAGAGGCAGGATTCCAAGCGAGGCAATTTGTCTCCAGTGACCAGGCTGTTAACCACTCATGTATATTTCTTCATCTAGAAAGGTTCCCGCTCCCTTGAAACTCTCATTCTACTAGAACATGATTTGCGGAATGAATGTATAGAAGAATAGACCCAGGTAGAGAAGAAGGATGTAGAGGGACAACAGATTTATGGAATACAGTTGATGATGGCAGCTATTAATAGTAGAGAAATAAAAAAAAATCAAGCAGTACTAAAATAAGACATACATTTTATTAAAACACCATGTGTTTTGGGAATGCCATGTATATATTTTGACAGAATCATATAACAAATCCTCATTATAGCCTCATGAGGTAGCTATTAATAATAAGGCCCATTACACATATTGGAAAAACCTCTTTAAAGAGGTTAAATTGTGACAAAGATGTCATACAATCTCCAGACTGCAAAGCCATTAGTTGGATCACAGTCTTCCTGAAAAGATGGAAACAAGGTTGCCCTTGAGAGTTGATTCATTGAAACCTAGGTCTTATGTCATTGATTCTTTTTTTTTTTTTTAAATAATAAATTTTATTTTTATATTCCCCATACAATTGCAGCCACCCCATTCTGACCCCAATCCCTCCCCTCCCACCCCCGCCCCCCAAAAAGTGTCTCTGGTTCATAGTTTTTTATTGATTTTGATTTTCACTTTCTTATAGTTATTCATTTTCCTGGTCCCTTATTTAAGTTTTCTAGATTCCTGCTATGAGTGAGACCATCCGGTATTTTTCTTTTTCTTTTTGGCTTATTTCGCTGAGCATGATCCCTTCCAGCGCCATCCATGTTGCTGCAAATTGCATGTGTTTATCTTTTTTGAATGCTGAGTAATATTCCATGGTATATATGTACCACATCTTCTTGATCCAGTCATCTATTTTTGGGCATTTGGGCTGTTTCCAAAGCTTAGCTATTGTAAACAGTGCTGCAATAAACATAGGGGTGCAGGTGTTCTTTGGAATTGATGTTTCTGTGTCCTTTGGGTAAATACCTAGGAGTGGAATTGCTGGATCATATGGAAGCTCTATGTTTAGTAGGCCCAGAAATCTCCACACAGCTCTCCATAGTGGTTGGACCAGTTTGCACTCCCACCAACAGTGCAGGAGAGTTCCTTTTCTCCACACCCTCGCCAACATTTGTTGTTGCTAGTTTTTTTAATATGTGCCATTCTCACTGGTATAAGATGGTATCTCATGGTAGTTTTGATGTGCATTTCCCTGATGACAAGTGATGTTGAACATTTTTTCATATGCCTGTTGGCCATTCGCATTTCCTCTTCAGAGAAGTTTCTTTTTAGCTCTTCTGCCCATTTTTTGACGGGATTATTTTCTTTGTTGTTGTTAAGTCTCATCAGCTCTTTGCAGATTTTTGTGATCAGTCCTTTATCATTAGTGTTGGGTGCAAAAATGTTCTCCCAGTTGGTGGGGTTTCTCTTTGTTTTTGTTATTGTCTCTTTTGCTGTGCAGAAGCTCTTTAATTTGATGTAGTCCCAGCTGTTTATCTTTGCCTTCACTCTCACTGCTTTGGGTGATGTGTCTGTAAAGATGTCTTTAATGTGCAAATCACGTAGCGTTTCGCCTATATTTCCTTCTATATATTTTATGTTTTCAGGTCTTATGTCTAGTTCTTTAATCCATTTTGAGTTGATTTTTGTGTATGGTGTGAGGTAGTGGTCAAGCTTCATTCTTTTGCATGTAGCGACCCAGTTTTCCCAGCACCATTTATTGAACAAACTCTCTTTGCTCCAATGCATAGTCTTTGCTCCTTTGTCAAAGATTAGTTGACCATAAATCTGTGGGTTTATTTCTGGATTTTCTATTCGATTCCATTGGTCTGTATGTCTGTTCTTGTTCCAATACCATGCAGTTTTGATGATTATGGCTTTGTAGTATAGTTTGAAGTCTGGGAGTGTGATGCCTCCATTCCCTTCTTTTTTTTTCAGGAGAGCTTTGACTATTCGAGGTTTTTTGCGATTCCATATGAATTTCATCAATAATTGTTCTATTTCTTTGAAGAATGACATTGAAATTTTGATTGGAATAGCATTGAATCTGTAGATTGCTTTTGGTAGGATGGCCATTTTAATAATGTTTATTCTTCCAATCCATGAGCAGGGGATGTCTTTCCATTTCTTTGTGTCTTCTTCTATTTCTTTTAACAGTGTTTTATAGTTTTCTTTGTATAGGTCCTTTACCTCTTTTGTTAGATTTATTCCAAAATATTTGATTTTTTTTGTTTCAATAATAAAAGGGATGGTTTTTTTGATTTCTTCTTCTTCAGATTTATTGTTTGTGTATAGGAAGGCTACTGACTTTTGCGTGTTGATTTTGTATCCTGCCACTTTACTGAACTGATTGATGAGTTGAATTAGTTTTTCTGTGGAGTTTTTGGGGTTCTCTATGTATATTATCATATCATCTGCAAATAGTGATAGTTTGACTTCTTCTTTTCCTATTTGGATTCCTTGGATGTCTTTCTCTTGTCTTATTGCTCTGGCTAGGACTTCCAGTATTATATTGAAGAGCAGTGGTGAGAGTGGACATCCTTGTCTTGTTCCAGATCTTAATGGAATTGCTTTCAGCTTTTCACCATTGAGAATGATACTGGCTGTTGGCTTGTCATAGATGGCCTTTATGATGTTGAGGTATGTTCCTTGTATCCCAAGAATTTCAAGGGCTTTTATCATGAATGGGTGTTGCACTTTGTCGAAAGCTTTCTCAGCATCTATTGATATTATCATATGGTTTTTATATTTCTTTTTGTTGATGTGTTGGATAACGTTGATTGATTTTCGGATGTTAAACCATCCTTGTGTTCCAGGAATGAATCCTACTTGGTTGTGGTGAATTATCTTATGGATACATTATTGGATTTTGATAGCTAAAATTTTATTGAGGATTTTTGCATCAGTGTTCATTAGGGAGATTGGCCTGTAGTTTTCCTTTTTTGTGTTGTCCTTGTTCGGTTTTGGTATTAGTGTAATGTTGGCTTCATAGAACGTGTTTGGTATTGTCCCTTCCTTCTCAATTTTTTGGAAGAGTTTGTGAAGGATAGGCACTAATTCATCTCTGAATGTTTGGTAGAATTCATTTGTAAATCCATCAGGTCCTGGGCTTTTGTTTTTGGGGAGATTTTTGATTACCATTTCAATTTCCCTGCTTGTAATTGGTCTGTTTAGGTGTTCTATTTCTTCTTTATCTAGCTTTGGGTGATTGTA